CCAGTTTCTGATGACCATTTTGGAAGAATTTTGTGGTTGACGAGGAAATGACGTCAAAAATGCAGCGCTCGTGCAGGTCAAGGCACCGTTAACCGAGAAGACCTGAGGACGAGGTTGAGTTGTTTTGGTTGTGAACTTGAAAAATGGCGGACATTTCACTCGTTTCAAGAGTAAGAAACTAGGCGAAAAAATAACTAAAAACGTGGCGAGAACAGCAAGAAGACAACTCGAAGGGCGACATCTGCTATTTGGAGAATAGAATTTGGACAAACCTAAACGTGCACTATCGAAGATGAACTTAACATCGATGGATCGATGGAGGTAAGCATGTTTTTAAACTAGGAATTATTTGACTGAATAATAAAACAATTATTGAATTCGGCTTTCGTATCATATGAAGAATTATGGCGATCTCGGAGGGTGTTATCCGCCTCGGCCACCGGCCTCGACGGATAACACCCTCCTCGATCTCCATAATTCTTCATAAGATACTCAGCCTCATTCATTAATTGTTAAATAAATGCTGCTCCTTTGTAATTGGTTTTAATTATCACTAGGTACTGTAGACACACTGTATATAATAATTTTCTTGTTTCTACATTATCTTAAACTTGTACATAATATATAGTATTACTTTATTCTAATTACCTTTGTCATTTATATTCTATTTGTTTTTGCTATACCTTCGGAGATATGAGCTTTAGTTGATGCTATCTTTGGAATTCGAAGTGAGATAAAGTTTTTGATTTGATTTGAAATATGTAGGGAACATAAGAAATAATCGAAGAACTAAGCAAAGGTTCCAGTCAGAACAAAGGGTGGGTGGGAGGGAAAAATGAACCGAAGCTTTAAACGAACTGACTGGGAAAGGACAGTGTACGGCAAAAAGAGGAGCACAAGTGCATGATAAGCATGTGATAATATGAATGGAACCTTTGTGGAATCTAGTAATATATCATGGTACATTACAGTGGACTTTGCCAAAGAAGAAGGATACATTGTAATCAAACAACTAGTTAGTGTTCATTGTTCTTTTTGTACTTTGAACTAGTATCTACCATTACTTAGTACAAAAGCTTATACAAATGTTGCACGTTGTGTGACATAAGAACTGAGACATGATTGTTGCTAGTATGTCTTAAGTGTGCTTTCATAGGGCATCAATCTCAGGTTTATTAACAACAGTTTATGCTACCATGAACTTGAAATAGCATTTTTAACACTGTGTAGTCCTGGCATGTACTCTAATCCTGATACACAAACGGGGGGCCCAGAACTAGGATTATGCCACTGTTTTGCAGATGGACTGACTTAAACCAGAGTTTAGTTCCATCTGTGGCACAGGCCAATATCAAAGGTGGTGATTTAGTATTACATAAGCAGAGACAAAATCTGAGTTAGAAATTGGCAACCGAACACTACTATGGGCGAGCTTTAAAATCCGCGCGACGTTTCAAACATGGCTCTCAGTTTTGCCCCAAAAAACTTTTTAACTTTCTATTGAAACTCATTGTGCAACAAGTACTTCGAAGAAAACATCCTGTGTTAGGTATAAAATTGAATCCGCTATCCCTCCTTTTTCAACTGGCGAGATATCACCGTAATGATACTGATACACGGCTTCAAAAAAATGGCTTTCGTACTCTTCAAAGGAACCACATGTTTTCAGTAGCTTTGTGCATTATGCGCATGCGGGCGTGACAGCTCGCGCGCGTATTTTGCTCACACGACCCCGAACCACGCGTGTTTTTCGGATTTTTGTGACGTCAGCGCAGTTAATTAATCGTGAATTTCTCGCGTTTCCTTCGGTAAATTATTTTTAAAATCGCCTCATTTCTTAACAGTGGTGTTACCTTTGTACTATCATTTTTTTGTCAAAATCTGTAAGAGCTAAACTCCTCTATTAAGAAATATTACAAATTTTAAAAAATATTGGCAAAACCGTCTTAACGACCCCATGTTTTTTCCACTTTAAAATGTTAAGCAATATCGTTAATATGAAGTGGCAAAGTTTAAAAACGTATGCATTATTTTACAATGTGTTATTTTACAATGTGTGATTCCAGAAAGTATCCATACCACTCGCACGGAAGGGATCGGATTTTGCAAGGGGGGGCTTCAATGTGCCTAATTTTCCAGTGGGGAGGGGGGGTCACCATAGGGAAATATTTCCAGAGGGTTCTCGTGACGCGTAAGAGAGTAACAAAGAAAAAACACAGAAATTTACCATGGCAATTTATTTGCGAAGATATAAAACACGACGAAAGTTAAAGAGCTACTAGACCTAAGGATTAATGGACATAGCAAACATATTTTGTCAGTCCCTTGGCGTGAACGTTCCTTACGGTTTGCCGTTTTTGAACGGATTTGGTATCCGTTCAAAAAATTTTTTTTTTCCTGCAACCTACCTGTATTGATCTTAGTTACTTGAAATGTCTTTCAATGTTGGACTTGCACAAAGCAGTAGAAAAGAGACTGACTTTTTAAATTATATTTTGTTCATGGTGCAAAGCTTTCCTAGCATGCACTAGCCTGAACGCCATTTTGATTAGCCTCAATTTTTTTTTAATGAATGGGATTGATTACAGTTCTTCTGTAATCTGAATTCCCAAAATAACTTTACTTGCCAGCCAGGCAAGTTAAAAACGCAGTTCACCAGCCCAATCATAAAATCCAGTACCCCAGGGCTATTTCCTGGACACTACTCTGTCTACTCTCTTTGCACGCTGTTTAATATAATTTAGCCAGAACTTGAACCTTTGAATGCTTTTTAAACAACACTTTTACTCGAAAATTCGAGACAAACCTTCCGGATGAAAGTAATAAAATACCTGTACAAGTCACTGGATAAAGTTGTGTACTATATGTTGTCATTTTTGCATAAACAATACAGGAATGATTATTCTTGTATCGCCTACAACTAATTATTACGTGTATTAAATTGCCTAAAGTAATTAAATGTATAAATTAGAGGACTGGAGAAGAAATTAATGGGTCTTAAGTCACCGTGGGAGTTTTTTGTGGGGGGTAGGGGGATGGGGCGGCCTTGTGGCTAATATTATTGAACATGGGTTATTACACACTTTATGAGAAATCGTGCATTCTGGAAATAGAAAACTAAAAAAGTAATAACTACGAACAATTTGAACCTCTTTAAGATTTTAATGATTTAGAGTGACTTAAGGCGACTAAAGGCGACCTAAGGCGACTTTAGGCCGCTTGTAAAAAGGTCCCAGAGTAGGCCTAAAAAAGGGTTGAGCCCGGGAGTAATGTCACAGACAAGCTGTAGGTGGAATATGGATCTCTCAGCACTAGCCTCCACCCGGACGATCTCATTCCACTTACTTACGATAATAATTAATTATTACTGCCCGTCAAAAGTCGCTGTGGCTCGGTCGCAGACGTTAGGGCTGGGTGCAGATTGAGATCAGAAGCGACGACCGGAACTACATGTACGTCTACGTCCGTTGTCCTTTGTGTGAGTTAAATTCACTCACGAGTAAATAAAGGTTTGTTTTTTTTTCTAACAAAGGCTACTTTTTTTGCTCACAGGGTTAAACTTCGATGGCTTTATCGACGACCAAAACTGCGACTTATAGTCGCTTTGGGCGTGATAGTGATTTTCATTGTTCAGCAGTCAGGTGTCTTAAAAATGAATCCAAAGGTAAGCATTCTAAGCACCGAGGGTTGATTGCAATTCAGCAAAATTCTATTTATTTTATTAGCTTCGCCGAAGAAATAATAATAATAATAATAATAATAATGATAATGATAATGATAATGATAATGATAATGATAATGATAATGATAATGATAATGATAATGATAATGATAATGATAATGATAATGATAATGATAATGATAATAATAATAATAATAATAATAATAATAATAATAATAAAACATAATTAAACTCAAGAAGGGGGTCGGCAGGGACAACGGAACAGCTGAGGCCAATCACAGCCGGCCCGGATTGAATAAAAAAAGTGAGAAATGTTAAGAACGTCAAACAACAAAAGATCGGACGAGATAGCGGATGGACATTATTACATTTTCCTGGGTCAGGGTATCAAAAGTTCTATTTAGCGAATGGGCGTTTCTCTCGGTTTCCCGAAATTTCTTAGATTTCTTCCTGGAAATTTCCCTTCCATTCGTGTTGCGAGCCAGAATTACCCAAATGTTCATCGGAACGGCTCGCTTTTGGAATTTTCAGGTTAACAAATTTTCAGGGATATTTCTGATGACATTTCGGTTAACATTTGGATCAAATGGAAAGACTACTAAACCCTCGATCGCTTAGATCACAACCACTAGCGTCACTCTCCACGCACTTGCAGTCCATGCCCTCAGTGGATGACTATGTTCCTGACGCCATTAGCTAACAACAGAGGTTAATCAGTCCTTATTTTCCTTTTTTTTCCCTGTAAAGCATTAGAACTGAGCCGTGAATCGCCGTAGTTTTAACTTTTTCAACCGCACACTTGAAGCCTAAGTTTTTCTTTACCTTGCGCGCAGATCCAAAACCTGAAGGTCGCCAATCTTAAAGGCCCAGAACAGCAAACGTGGATCTCTTCAATCCCGCTTGTTTTCGAAAGTTTTCGTTTTTTGTATGTTAGTCCCTCTTGTTGCCGTTTTTTTTCTCTGTTTTTTTTTTTCAGTAACATTAATCATTGCGCCGCTTTAAGAATAACACAAAGAAGGCTGGGCAGGAAATAAGGTCTTGTTAACACCGAAAGCAAACAAGTGATCACTACTTTACGTGAAAGCTGGTCAAAATGAATAAGTAATAACGAGGAATAAGCTAATGCTAGAAGGAAATAATAATAATGATGATGATGATGATGATGCTTAAAGGGACGACTTATAGCTTAGTCTCAAAATACCCTAGAATCTTTTTTACTGAGTGAGGTTTTGTCATTTGGAAATTGAAGACATTATCGTTAATTCCATTTTGTTGCTGTTGTTGTTGTTTACTTTTGAAAAGATTCAAAAACAGATGCAAATGTCCCAGTGGTCCCAGTTTTCTCCCGAAGATAAGGTAATAAATTTTGCACTTTTTATCCCTTTAATTAAACCTCGTTCTTTAACAGCTTCAGCACCATTGTTTTGCGCAGTTCTCAGCTATAAGGTTTTCCCATGCAGACCGTCATAATAGTTTGGGGCTGTAGGGGAGGGGGGGAGGGGGGTAAGGGATAAAGAACTAACTTTCTCCCTGCGTAGAAAACAAAAGTTGGAAGGGTCGGAAACTCATGTAGGAAATTTCCGCGTGTTTAGGAACTGCTTGAACACTTTAGAAAACACCTTAATTGTTCATTAGTCAGTGGACATATGTGCGCGATGACGTCATTGTAAGGTTCACAAGTGCTATGGAAAAGTTCTGTTAAAGTGCTTCTTTCTTGGAGTCTCCATCTTGATGTTTAAGGGTAGTGTGACTATCAAGTAATCGTTCAGGAAGGTGGAGCCTATCAGAGTTGTTACCTTTGGAAGTGGAGTTCACTAATCCTGAATAAATACAGTCCAGTGAAATTTCGTGTACAGGCGCTTTTTCTTGACTGATTACAACCCATCGGGCTAGAGATTTGCAGAAATGTAAGTTGATGATGATGCTGATAAACAACAGTTTACTAAAAATACATGATTCTCTCAAGTTTAAATAGGCCATTTCCGAGTTGTTTTTTTTTTCTCATGCAAAAACAACTCAGTTTCAAAGGAAAGATTTTACACTTAGCCTCGTTTTTTAAGTCAGAGTTTTTGGAACTAAAAAATGGCCTATTACTGTAAATATGAAAAGAACAATATTGATTGCCCCATGCATCAAAAAGTGTTATATTTCTAATGTGCCACTGAGGCCATAAACTTGAGCACTACTCAGCTCACCTCTACACTCTCTAAACACTCTCGCTGTTAAGTCACATGACTTCAGACTTCGCGCGCCAGGGAAGTCCTGGATGTACACGACAAATACAAAGTATCTACAAGTTCTAAAACAAAGCTCTGAACAGAACTTTGTGACTTTTTTGCTTTCTAATGCATCATAATTGTAATGTCCTTTCGATTGTTGTGTCTTAGGCGTCAAAATGGAAAAGATGTGAAATACTGATATCTGGCAAAGATAAAATGAGTAGTAAGACCAACTTGAAGACTGACTCGGAGATCCGGGATAGCTATGAAGCAAATGATGACTGTGTCCACGTTTTAAGGACACGGTTTCCTCACCGTGCGGTTACAAAAACGGAACAGCAACTACCAATCGCCTTTGGTTTCAGTGTCCACAAAGGTGCTCGTTTGTTCGAACAACTTCTGCAAGCTATCTACATGCCACACAACGTTTATTGTATTCATATCGACAAGAAGTCTCCAAACGTCTTTCGTAAAGCAATACTTGCGATGATACGGTGTCTGCCGAATGTGTTTGTGTCCAAAAAGAGCGCGGATGTTGTTTGGGGTCATTTTTCTATTGTTGAAGCTCAGCTAAACTGCATGGAGGAACTTTTGCAATCAACAATAAAGTGGAAATATTACATTAACTTGGTTGGACAGGATTTTCCACTTTATGAAAACAGTCAAATCGTGGTAGCTTTACAAAAGTTAAACAATACGAACAGCATAGAAAGTTTCCCGATGCCTGGGCATAATTCTGATAGAACTAAGAAAGTTCACATTTTACAAGACCACACTATTTACAACACAGGGGCTGAAAAGTTTCCACCGCCCCACGATATTCCAATTCAAAAAGGCTCAACACACATTGTTGCAATTAGAGAATTTATCGAGTTTCTTCTCCATAACAAGATAGGAAAAGACTTTGTTAATTTCCTGAAGGACACCTATGTCCCAGATGAAACAATTTACTCGTCTTTACAACAGCATCCTCTGACGCCAGGAGGTCTCCTTGGTGAACAGCATAATCACATAACACGTGCTCTCCACTGGGATGATGAGTTTTCCGATTGCAAAGGCGAATGGGTTCGAACCTTGTGCTGGTTGTCCATTGAGGATTTGCAGTGGGCCTTGGGCGAAACAATGAAGGAAAAACTATTTGTTCACAAGATTCCATTTGACAATAATGATGACATAATAGAGTGTATTCTAGTGGCAAGACAAGGAAGAACGTATAACACGACTGCGTGGAACCCAGAAAACCTAGAGAAAAAATTAAAGATAAGAGAATAAATTTTCCCCGGTCTCAAAGTGCCATAAGGATTGTTTTTTGAGCTGAAGACAGCCTGAGTGCAACAAATGTTTATCCAATTCACTTTTGGCTAGAAATAGCAAAGAGAAAGAAACCTGAATGTTCACGTTCGCTTTTTTTTCTATTATCGTTGGATATTTTTACCTTGGTGTATCTAATGTTTGACCTTTCCCGTGGCTATGCAAACCTGGGCCACAGCTGACCCAGGCGTAACCGGCACTGTTTGCAGGGGATTAAAGCTCAAATAAATATAGAAGGTTAAAAAATCCTCATTAAACATAAACAATATTTCTCTGTGTTGTTGTTGTTGTTTTTTGTTTGTTTGTTTGTTTGTTTTGTTTCTCCTCTCTCTCTCTCTGCCATTAGGTAGGTTAAAGGAAGTGGGTAATTAGGTAAGAAAGTAACTAACTAAGCAAGTAGGTGACTTTGCTGAACCTTAGAGAGGAAAAGTGTGACGACACGTTACCATGGTAGCAAAATATTTCTGGATCACAACAATAGGGCCGCTTAAGCAACGATGCCGGCGACGGCAAAGAGAACTGGAAAAAAGCAATAGGTAATTTTGGGAGAAGAAAACTCGTACCGGAACACATCGCTAAAGATCTTGGGGTGATTTTAGATACTAACCTGACCTATGACGGACACATTACCAAAACTGTTTCCTCCTTATGTCTTGCCTCAGTCAAATAAGCCGCACAAAGCATGTTTTTGACAAACAAAACGTACTAACTATTTTGAATGCTTTAGTTTTTAGTAAACTTTTTTATTGTTCAAACGCATGGGCGAATACATCAAAAAGTAATTATATGTAGATTACAAAGTTTTCAGAACTTTGCTGCTCGAATTGCGACAGGTACGCGCAAATATGATCACATTACGCCAGTTTTAAAAGAGCTTTAGGAACGCTATATCACGGCCTTTAAATGCCTTACCTTCCACGTGCCGGAGTACCTTTCCTCCCAGTTCATTAAGCGAGGAGAAATAAGCGGGCGTGCCACGAGAAGTTCACAGATGCTGAACCCTTCCTTTGCCCTGCAAACGACTAGACCTTCGTGTGGCTCGAATGACCACGTAAAATGGGGGTCCTGTCTCGAGTCAGTTTCGAGTAGTAGACGTAAAAATAGTTTCCACAATTAGTACTTTCGTTTAAATACATCGACGCTCCAACAAAGTGCATTTTTTTTAAAGTGCCCAGACAGTATTGCTGATCGCGATCATATATAGCCCAAAATACTCATGAGGCTCTGTCATTCTGCAAACTTTGAGAAAACGCAAGCGGGCGCTCTAATCATTGAGAAACACAGAGACAGTTTGAAGGCTTTACAATAAGGTCATATGTGTAACTTGTGACAATATTTGTTGTAGGAATTGACTAAGTGGGAAAGGTGCAAGAGGCTTACTGATCAGGAGAAGAAAACCTGACCAAGCAGTAACCTTTAATTAATAAAAGTAAATAAATAGTCGGCTTACCTTAACACCCTAATGTAGAAAGTGACTTTTCATTTAGAAAGATTTCATTCTTAACTTACCGGCATTCAGTCTAGCGACTTGTTTGTTTGTTGGCTTATTTGTTTTCTTTTTTGGTATCGGAGCTCCGGGACGTATTAGCGATACTTTGTGTAGATAAAAACCTTTTCCGTCAATATCTATTGTCGTCAAAAAAAAGTATACACAGCTTTTCCAAACACGAAAGGCTGGAAATGTTAGATATGCATTAAGCAAAAGTTTTAATTTGATTATTTAATTATAAACAGGTATATACCTCATCGTGGAAAGCCACAAGTGCACCGGTAATATACACTCTGTATAATACGTATTACACAGAGTGTGTATTACCGGTGCACTTGTGGCATTCCACCATGAGGTAAATACCCTATAAACACCTGTCGCTAAAAATGTTCAAGTGACCTACACGTATCTTACTAAGAGGTTCATTATACCCACAATGTTTACAGTGACAAGGTCTGTCTGTGCGAAGTCTCGAATCATTTCCCCTTCTCGACCTTCAAGTCAAAGGTTTTTTTCAGTGGGCTATATTTCTCCGTATGTTAAGACGCTGTATCCCACAATCCCTGTTTCCACACAGCGGTTGCATATTTTCTTCCCTGTCTTGCCACAAGAATGCATTCTATCAGGTCATCGTTGAAGTCAAACGGAATCTTATGAACAAAGAGTTTGTCTCTCTGTTCTTTTCCTAGGACCCATTGTAAATCTTTCAAGGAAATCCAGCAAAGACTCCGTACCCACCTTCCATGACAGATATTTGAGTTATGGGCTCGCCAGGCCAAGACACGTGATATGGACTTTGGTTGATTGCCATTGATTCCTCCTGGGGCTTGAGGATTCCGTTGTAGAGAAGAGTATATCGTTTCATCCGGGATAAAAGTATCCTTTAAGAATTCATAAAAGTCTTTTGCTATTTTGCTATGAACAACAAACTCGATAAAGTCTCTTAATGCAATGATATGTGTTGATCCTTTATAGATCGAAATATTATGCGGAGGGGGTAATTTTGGTTGACCAGTCATTACAACCTTATTATCCATTAAGAGGTGGACATATTTAGTTCTGTTTTGCAACTTTTTGGAAACTGGTCTACTTACTATGTTATTAAAGTTGTTAAGACCACTTAATGCCTTAACAATTTGCTTGTTATCATAAAGAGGAAAATCCTGTCCAACTAAACTAATGTAATATTTCCATTTGACAGTCGATTTCAAAAGTTCCTCCATGCAAATGAATTGAGCTTGAACTATAGAAATATGTCCCCAGGTTACGTCAACACTGTTTGATGCGATAAAAACGTTTGTAAGGCAACGTATAACGGCCTGTATCTCTTTACGGAAGACAGCTGAAGATTTTTTGTCGATATGAATGCAGTGGATATTGTTTGGCATGTAAACAGCTCGTAGAATTTTTTCAAATAGACGCGCACCTTTATAAACAGTCAGGCCAAAGGCGATTGGTGACTGCTTTTCTTCTTTTGAAACAGGAGGATGAATAAAGCGTTTGCTTAAAACATGTAAGCAGTCTTGATCAGATCTGTAGATGTCGGAAGTTGCTACAGTCGATAAATTCCAACTCTGATTTGGTTTTTCTTTGCCAGAAATAAGTTTTGTACATCTTTTCCACTTTGATTTCTGCAATAAAAAGGCAGCATAAGAGTCTTACTACAAAAAAAGAAAGAGAAAGGAATTTTAAAAAAGATACTCTGCCTAGTAGGAACCCAAGAAGTAGCTATGACGAAGAGACAACGGCCATCATGTGTTAGTACCATCAGCTAATCTGACAGCCAGGTGTAACCTGATAAAGTGAACATCTACAACGAAGGAATAACAAAAGGAATGTATATAAACTGTTTTGTTTGTTTTTTAGTGGTATTTTTTTTACTTGGTCTTTTCCTCAGGGAAATAATTCCATTTAACATCCACCTGACGAAGAAATACTGTACGTTTGACGAAGAGTTATTAACTTGGTTATAATGGGCTCCTGCAAATATCGTTTAGGCCGTGGTCACAGGACTACGCACTAGATTGGAGTGCACCTGCGAGCACTAGGTAATCTACTGGTCTCACGGACCAGGCCCCGGTTGTTCAAACGTTGCGCAGCGCTATCCACCGGTTAAATTGCTATCAAGTGGATAAGTATTAGGGAAACTGGTTGCGTTATGTATTGGATAGAGATTTATCCAAGGGAAAGCATTTTCCACCTTTCGAACAACTGCGCCCAGCAAAGCAATTACGAAGGTGAAGAGGTCAGTTAAAAAATGAATTCACGCTGTTCCAAACTTTATCGTTGTTTGATGGATCGAGACCACAGAAAATGAGGTAAGTTGGACTGGCCGTAAAGTGTGGGATGAATTCAGCATTGGATTTTTCTACTGAAACGATGCTGCAACCTGTCCTGACCCAAATAAACCGCCTTGACATCTCCCGACAAACTACGAACCTAACGAAGTCCAAGGACAGCACGTTAGGGGTGATCCTTGTCAGAGGGTCCGTAAGAGAGATCCAGGGGGGGGGGGGGGAGCTGTTCGATTCAAGACCATTCCATTTCGCTTCACGTTTCTTTCTTATTTCGTGCAAAGATTCAATTCCACTGTTATCTGTGTTCAATTGCACGTTTTACTTTTGTATGAAGAAGACGCGGGGGGACTCCAGATATGAAATGGGTGGGGATGCTCATCGTCTCGCTTAGGGGTGTAAATTTCGGACTTTGGTCTCACTTAGGGTGTTCTGGGCAAGACACCATCATATTTAGCCGTGAAGGTCTCGTTGAGGGTTGCACGCGAAAACATTTAAAAATACATATTTGATATGTATATTTTCAGTTCGTTTTATTTACTCCATTCATATAGTCCAAGTTTTCTCATTTGTCTGTGTTTTAACATGGTCCTTTTAGGGGTCAAAAAAAGCTTGGGCCACGCCCAGATCGGTCTCCTTTAGGGGTTTAATTCAAAATTTCCGACGAGCATCCCCACCCCTTTCACATGCGGAGTCCCCCACCCCCTGGGAAGAAGATCAGAGAACTAAGTATAAAAATGATGTATTAATTTTAGATACAACCTACAGGAGGTTTTATTTAATTTTCAACGGTTCTTTCGCTAAAGCAAGATTGAAAAAAAGGGTTCGCGAGCCAAGAATACCCTTCCTAGATTTCGAAGGTCTTCGGCGGATAAGTTTTCATCGAAACAAGTAGCGTTTTCTTCTCATTTTTCCGGAAAATTGTTCACAGTTCACTGCTTCTAATTTTTAACAATCACAAATCACAGCAAATACAAAAAACCGGGCGATCACGTTAACAGTCCCAGGTCCGGTATTTGATGCACCCCAAGTAACTCACAGAGTAAAACTGGGAGAAGAATCTGTGAGGCGGAGCCTTTTCTCTTCTTTCTTAAGAGAGAAGACTGGAAGGTCCAACCAGAGACAGCACACCTCAGTTTTTTTAAAACCCTGGTTTTTGGTCCGGCCAGCTACTCGGATCATGCCCTGAAGTCTTATAGCCAACTTGAGAGAGAAAAACAACATCTCATTGTTCCTTTATCAAAATCTTGCTAACAAAACTCGTCTTCTTATAACCGCTGTATTTGAGTGTTTGAAGGAGGAGTCTCATAAAACTGAGTAGGCCACTAATTCCTTATTAAAGAGAAATAAAAATCCTAAATCCAAAGGAACGAAGAGCGGGTCTCCTAAAAGGAAAGGAAGGAATACTTTCTTCACCTTCGTTCGCCTTCCAACTTGCCTCCCATACCGTGGTGTGGGTACTCAACTTAAAGACACTTAGCGCTGTTAAACTATTGTCACATCTCTGACAACTCTTTGTTGGCTAACACCCCGCTGTTATGATTTATATAATCACTTAAAGTTAAAATAAGGAAATGCGGAATTGCAGTTACCCAGTAACCTCTTTTGACCCAGGCATTCTTGCGCGCACTTAAGCTGAGCACTCCGTTTTTACCTTCGATACACTGAGGGCTCGTCTTTGCGTCATGTTGTTCACATTAAGAAAAACTGACCCGAAGATTACCATAATAACCATAACCATGATGAAACACAAGAACCAAGCCTTGGCGACTTTCAATACCATACTAAGGAGTCACAGGTCTCTATAAGAAAAAGGAAAGGTTTTTTGTTCCTTGGGAACATGCACGCATACAAACATACACACGTGCTGAACACGAAAATAACCGAACGACAACATCAGAAATCGAATTGTCAGCTCAAGTAGCTGATATTAGAACTTTAAAATTAATTAAATAAAGTTAATCCAGAATAGTAATAGCACAAACAGTCCTCTTACGCTACGAAGTTGGGAATCATAAAAGGGGAAAATAACAATCTTTATTTTTTAGCCATACAGTGTTCTTTTGTTCGCATTGCTTGAGTTCTGTTTTCAATTTGAAAAATGCATTTGGTTAGTGCCAGGCGTCGAATTTGTATTGGACAAAAGCCAGGGATCTTATACTTCCAAGAATCTTAATTTTACAAGAAATGAAAAACTGCTTCAGTAACGGGCTATGAGATTGCATCACTGATACTCATAAGACAGACAAAAAAGAAACATGACAACGAAAAATACAAAAAAAGCAAACTTTCAGACGAGTGAAAAGCCAAATAAGCAGATGAATACTGAAGTTGTAACATGTAATATTGTTAACAATTATTAATTATATATCCGCGCCTTGATATACCTATAGCTAGCGTCACCGTAATACACTTGATGTTAAGACTTTCCGGGGTTAGAGTCAAGACGTGACGCGATTTTGTACCTACTATATGTTTTGAGAAGGCTGCAGGTGATATAGCTTTTAGCGGACGCCAATTTAGTTCAGCTTGGTTACATTTCTTGTATCAAATGTAAAATTTAGGTAACTATTAATCGCAAATTCTCCCCTTCTACTTTTTGTTACCAAGGAAGATTGCTAGTTGAAACGACCTTTGGCCTAAAATTGAATCAATGATGTTAAATTCCTAAAGTTCTACTAAGCATTCTTTGTATTAGTCTTCAATTTAAACACAGTCCGATAAGGCATGAGTATATCTATTAAGTAAAACTGAACAATGAACGACGAAAGCGGGAATGCATTGAAAAACGATAATAGAGGTGACCTCTGTGGACTAGTTAAAGGTAATTGACAACCTACCTTACAAATGAATTGGCACTGGAATACGTGGCAGACGAAGCTAAATTGTATGTCTTGATTATTATAGCTTGGTGATGTTTGCGTGCTAATATCAACCATCCAATATTTCGCATTTTTATGAGAAAAACAACTAATGGGTAACTTTTACTCTCGTGACCAGCGGCTATCAGTTAATTTATTGGAACAACATAAAATTTCACTGTTGGTACATCAACATGGCTGCCACTTTATTGATTTAGAAGACCACTTGCCACATGTGACAGTCATGTTAAGACGCTGTTTTTTGCGTGATCGGGTTCTTTGATCCCGTCATCAAGACACAAATTTTCTGTCCATCCCGTAATCCCGATGGCTATTTTGAGCATCCCGCATCCCGCATCCCGTGCATACTTCTAATTCTCAATCTCGACCCCATTTTGCAATAAAATCCTGAATCCCGGCCTTCAAATAAGGAAAATCCCCGATCCCGAAAACCCATTGGGAAACCTCAAGTCATAAATTTACACGGAATGCAAAAGCGTGCAGCTTACAAACTGAAACATGAAAATTATTTGAACTGAACAAGCGAAACAACAAGCATAAAAAGCCGAAACTTCTGCCTAAAGCCAAAGAGGGATGAAAAGAAATGGTAAGAGTGATGAGTAAGATTGATTCCAGGGAAAAGTGACTAAAACTGTGCGTACCTTTTGGAACATCCGAGCTTAGCTGCTGGCCAAATTTTGCGTTAGCGGGTATGGAGAAGGATAAACCGCCAACATCCCCAAGGGAGATCGCAAAAGTCCTTTTCTAGCCAAGTCCAGGAATGGATCGACCCCAATAAGCGTTTCTTAAAGGATGAAATTGTGCGCACTGCCTAAGACCGAGCCAGCTGGAGACGCCTACATTCGACTGTTATTCCGTCGACCAATAATAATGAGGATGATGATGACGATGATGCACGAACAGCGACAATATTGCTCTTTGTATCAGCAAATTCACTGGGAACTATCTAATGTTAGTCAAAGTTAAAGTAGGAAGAACAGAAATCTGCGAAAACTGAGAATTTAACACTGGCAAACCAAGACGAAACGCTGAAGTGTAGCTTAGCAATGTTCAGTAACCAACAATTTAAGACACATTAACTAGCATGTGCAAGCTTTATTGGTTAAAGGAAACAATAGTATGAACGTAAACATTCTTTATATATTGTTCAGTTTCATAAGAATGTAGGTGGCAGTTTTACTAATTTAAAGGCGCTTTTTCCAGCGGAGTCGATGGATTTGACCTAACTTGACCATGTCAAAAGTTGACAAAAACCGTTAAAAGGTCTATTAATGGCTTATACAAAGAACAGTTATTGTTTCCATACAGCAGTATTATATTTCCTTCCCTGTCTTGCAACAAGAATACATTCTATCAAATCATCATTGAAGTTGAATGGGATCTTGTGAACAAAAAGTTTGTCTTTTTTCTCCTTTCCAAGCGCCCACCGCAAATCTTCTACTTGGATCCAGCAAAGACCTCGTACCCAGGCCCCATGACAAATGTTACGAGTGTTTGTTAAAAGCCAGTACAGGGCACGCGGTATATACTTGGGTTGATTGCCACGAATACCCCCTGGGGTCAGCGGATGTTGCTGTAAAGATGAGTATATTGTTTCGTCTGGGACATAGGTGTCCTTCAAGAATTCAATAAAGTCTTTTCCTATTTTACTATGGAGAACAAATTCAACAAATCCTCTTATGGCGACGATATGTGTCGATCCTTTATGGACAGAAATATTGTGTGGCGGTGGCGACTTTGCGATACCAGTATTGTAGATAACGCGGTTTTTCAGCGCGTGCACTTTCTTTGTTCGGTCCTGATTATGTTGAGGCATGGGCATGCTTTCGATGCTGTTAGTATAGTTCAGCCCCCGTAATGCTCTCACAATTTGCTTGTTATCGTAAAGAGGGAAATCCTGTCCAACTAAACTGATGTAATATTTCCATTTCACTGAGGATTCCAGTAGCTCCTCCATGCAGTTCAGTTGAGCCTCAACAATTGAGAAATGTCCCCAGACAACATCAGTGCTGTTTGCCGAAATGAAAACATTCGGAAGACATCGAATTAGCGCCTGTATGGCTTTATGGAAAGCCTCCGGGGACTTCTTGTCGATGTGGATACAATAAACGTTATGAGGCATGTAGATGGCTCGAAGAGTTCGTTCAAAGAGGGATGCACCCTTATATAATAAAACTGCGTAAGCAATCGGCAGCTTCCTTTCTTCTTTCGTGACCGGAGGATGAACAAAATATCTTCGTAAAACATGATCGCAGTCCGTATCTAGCTTGTACACATCGAGGATATCAGAGTCATTTCTTTGGATATAAGTTCTGTTGACTTTCTCTTCGCCAGATATAAGTCTTTTGCACCTTTTCCACTTAGATGCCTGCAAGAAAGAAACTCTAGTTATATGCAATGCCGTCGATTACTCTGATACGAGAAATATCCGATTTCCACAGGTGACTTTATTTTTCTTGTCATACATGCGAGTTTTTAGACAAGTGGCAGCTGAAGTGGGCATACAAATCAAGTTCCAAGTATACACGAGCAAGCATTTGATAACTAATTTATCCCATGCTACTTCTCTAATTTTGAGAGAAATACGAGGCGTACAAATTTATGAAAGTAAATCACACTGGACGGTTTACATTCACTGGTAAAAGTGTATTGTTACTCTCTGGCGTCATGGATTCTGCAATGTTGCCCGCCCAGAGACTTATTGTAAGATTTTATGTGATGCGAAGTAGCCAATGAGAGGTTGCGCTCCTAGGTACAAATAGCGCAGATCACGTCCTCATTTATAACTTACCACCAAGGAAACCTCTGCAGATCAGGCCTTTTTTGAGGCTGTATCCTTGACGGTATAGGTTCAAATTGGATAGCAATCCAATGAAGCTGCGTCTTAGGAATTTATACTTTGTAGTAGTCTGCGGCGAAGGCGCCTGTTAGATTTCTTCCTTCGCCCTAAAAAACCTGCGCCAGGTACACAAGCTAACTTTGTAGACGATATAGTTTAGTTCTTTTATTTCCATTGGACAGACCAGACGAACAGATCAAAATAAATACAATTCAAGTTTGAAAACCATTTCCAACGCCAAAATTTTACAACTAAATAGGAGTAAAAAGTGGTAAGTTGCAAAATGTGGAGAAGGAAGAAAAAGAGTCAGCCAAGACATCTTAACCAGCAGTGTAAAATCAACAGCCAGATATTTGCAAAGATTTCAGCAGAGAAAATATTTCACCATATTGCAGGAAATAAAGGATAATAATGGATTCTTTCTAATTGTAAGTTTTTAAGATTGTTTTCAGATTGCAAAGAGGATGCACCCTCGTCGTGGTAGACATCATGTTGATAACGTAGCTCCCTTTTTCAGTGCTGCAAGAAACAACTCGGCGTCATGCGCGCCGGATATAACTATAACTCCACAAAATGACTGATACTTCTTTTATGCAATATTCCTATCATTTTAGTCATCTTACCGTTTCCTGTGGTGAATAGTACCATTTATGCTTCTGAGAAAAGAAAAAAACAATAAGGTCAATAATTAACGATAACACTCAAAAACGTGCTTTGTGGTAGGTCAAAATTTACAATTTTTCCTTCGGTTGCTTCTCAATTACCTTTTTTTCCAAGTCCTTATCAATATATAACTAGGGTCTGGACAAATAAGAATCAGCGTAAGTCGAAAATAAATAAATAAAAAAATTTATCAAATAATAATAATCATCATCATCGTTAATAATAATAACTATAACAATAATAGTAAATTTACATCTATAATATCAACGTTATCTATTTGTGAATTATGGGCTTACCGATGAAGGGCTAACAGATGAAAGCGGCTCTTGGTAATATGTAGGAACGTTTGTCTATTGTGCATTTAAGTAGACGATTGCTGGTAAATTGACTTATTCTAATCGTTATCTCGAAAACTGAGATATATCTTAGACGCATTCGCACTGCAGAGGTATGAAATGTTGAAAATCAGTGACAGTTTAGTTGTGAAAAAAAAGCGCACTCGAGTCCTACTTTCTTCTACCTTGCCAAAGCTTCGTTAGTATCTCACTGATCTTGCAGTCTACTCAAATTGCGTTCAGTTAAGGTATAACTTATTATCCATTAATCTGAAGGATATTTGTAGATCACATTATGGGGATTCTTATTGAACGTGTACCCGTTTTGCTCTTAGCCCTAGATCAAAAGTCGAACTATTCATCAGACAAACTAAACTTTAATTTGGGCCGACCTAAATTAAGTTAGGATCGTCTGTTGGGTCAGACGTCAAACGTAGGACGCGTCAGACCAATCAACTGAATCAGATTAAAAAATAATTTATCTTCCGAACGGGCTAAATACTGTAAAATTCCGAAAAGAAGCCCCTCCATGTATGAGCCGGTAACGCAAAAACCCCTCCTTAAATCGCCCCTCCAAATATAAGCCCCCAGGGGGCTTGTACTTTGAAAATTGCCCTGAAAATACAAAGTAAAACAAAGCCAAAACGGTAAATTTACTTCCAACTGTAAGGCTATCCTAATCGATTTTGAAACGCAAATTTCCCTCCGTGGATAAGCTCCTCCAAAATAAGCCCCTCAAAAAGGGCCTTTGAAAAATATAAGCCCCGGGGCTTAATTTCAGAATTTTACGGTATCCATTATCAAACAAATTCTTAATTTATTAGTTTAGTTCGTCCCATGTGAAGATCGACGTTTGTCCCGGAGACGATCTTCAGACGGTCTATCCGTCTGGAGCAGACGGAAAGAACGTGTTGGACGATCCAAACTCATTCACACGGTCTTAACTGAGCCAGACGTCGAACTTTTCATGAACTGATAAACTTAGCGCACTAAGCTTGGTTCGTCTCATGAAAGAGTCCAGGTTTGGCATATACACTAATCCTCTTTCACGAGCTCGTTTATGATGTATTACCTTCGGCTTTGGGCTCAAAATTCCCGACTTTTGGACAATCACAAAAGTTACCACAGCGAAAAGAGAACATAATACCACAAAGATTTTAATACGTGACAACGCCATAGAAATTACGAATCTGAAAAAAAGATAAATAAACAAATTAATTAATTAATTAATAAGGAAACACAGTTAAATTTTGCCTGCGGTAAATTTGGGCATCGCGGATAAAGACAGTTACTGATAATAGACCCTTTCACAGTTTTTCAAACTTTTCACATGGACCAATGGGGAAAATGCGTCGACGCCACTAGAAAGAGCGTCTTCAAATTAGTAAAATTGCCAAATATGAAAGTGATATGTCATAAGCGAGACAAGACATAGCTCGGCAAAGTTGAGAAAATTTACAAACGTTTGTAAGGTGGGGGGAAGTTTGTGCCCCCCACCACAAATCACACTTGGCAATTGTGCTAATTTTAAGGCGCTTTTTCCAGTGGTGTCGACGGAGTTTCCCTAGTTATATATAACTTGTCTATATCAAAAGTTGTGAAAAACCGTGGAAGGGTCTGATTGTTTACTTTTATGGGGACCTTAAAAGTACTATTAGGTAGAAGAACAAGCTAGATGTTCATTGGAATTTCTTACTCTAAATGCTTTTGATCATTTTCATTCGTTATCTCTATACACGAAATCGCTTCGGTAGATTCATTTTCCCTGCACAAGTTGTGTATCAAAGGTATCTATTCCATCAAAAGTAATAACGTGACAAGTCTTACTAATAAAAGAATCATTGGCATTAACTGACCTAGACTACGAGTAGTCCCCCATTTTTCCTCAGGGATAGTAGAGCAAGCGAAACGCCAGCGCGAGTGAAAATCACCCCACGCGAGAAAATGCGAAACACGGCGGGGGGAGAGAAAAATGTTGGGTCAGACGTCGAACAGATCAATCATCTGAATCAGATCAAAAAATGATTTATCTTCCGAAAGGGCTAAATACCTCATTTTTCTCTCTCCCCGCCGCGTGTCGCCTTTTCTCGCGTGGGGTGATTTTTACGCGCGCTCGCGTTTCGCTCGCTCTACTATCCCTGAGGAAAAATGGGGGACTGCTCGTAGTCTATAACTGACAAAAAATGCCATATCTGAATTAAATCTGGGCATGACCTTGTTATGCTAATCTCTCAATTGCCGGCAAGTTTTGTTTCTTATCCCCTTCAGCAAATACAACTGATTGGAGTTTCTATAAACTTTGAAAGTTCACAGCTCGCTTAAAGTTTATCGTAATACATACCAATTTTGATGAACGTGTAAACTAAAGCCATCGGAAATGGGAACTTCAAAAAACAAACCTATATAAATCGATTTCACTCGAAACTTCACACAGGACACGAGCTTGACGACCTGTATTTTACTTAAGGTGTTTAGAATACAACAACACCAAATGTTTTATTTGTATGACCTTAAAGAAATTACAGTATTGCAAAAGCTATTAGTCTAAATTTAAGTGTTAATTCAACTAAGTGGTGCAAAACATTACAAAACGGTACAGTTCTCATTCATTCATTCATGATATTAATTTGGTTTTTTAATTCAAAGCATTGCGAGATAAATGAAACCAATTGACAGTTAATTAAATAATCAGAAGAAATCATAAGAAGAGATATTAAAGTATCGTGTGAAAGTGATTTGAAGTCAAGTATTTTAGTTTCCAGTTAATTTTGGAGAAAAATATGTCTCTGATCTGAGAATAAGCCTTACAATCTAGTAAGGAATGATTTTGATCTTCAATTTTGTTACTTGTACAAAAGGAACATATCCTTTCATTACGAGGGATTTTTTCGTATCTACCTGTTTCAATTCTAAGTTGAATACGTACACTGTAAATGTAACGGCGAAGGACAGTACTGTATGAATGAACCATAGGGCTTCACTAAATGTAAAAGTCAATCATTGTGCATCGAGAATAAATAGCTTGAACCCACAAAAACTGGTTCATTATACGTTTCTGGGGAAACTGCCCACCTACCCTTCCCCTAAGTCAACATTAACACTTAAGGTGTCCGTTCCTATTTATATGTGTGTTGGTTATGTTTTTGATTCGCGTTTTTCAGAATGAAAGATTCAACCGATTTCTATGCTTTTTGGCATACTAAATAAATAATAATGGAACTTTAAGAAAATATTATTTGATTTTTTTGTAGGTATAAAAACTTTTGAGATATCAGCATAAATTGAAAACTGCATTTTTACGAAAAATGTAAATAGCTTCGAAATCCCACGACAGATTTTTCCCTAACTTCAGCAAATAAGCCTCAGAGCTCTCTAGTTTTATATCTGCAAGTTTGAAGGCAATCGTGACCGTAGAACTCGCTGCACAAAATGCTGATCAAATTTAACCTTAAAATGCTACGCTAACACATTTGTGAAAGTTGAAGCACGAATAGAGGAAGACTGCCGACAGACTATCTCCTATCAGAAAGGATATTCCTACCTAAAGCTTTATTGCAAGAAACGGAGTAATCAGAAAGTTATTTACGGCGAATACAGTTAGCACTTCAAGATGAACAATTTTAAGCTGAGTGCGCGGTGATATTAAAGAACTTCTATTCGTCAAACTTACTTTGTATTTGTCCTTCTCTTTAGAAAACAAATCTTAACAAAGCAAAATATAGCATCTACGAAAAACTGCCAAGAGTTTTTAGAGTCGCAGATTCCTGTTCTGAAGAGAAATAAGGCCACCAACGCCAGTACTTCTAACCATCCATTTTTCAGCTGCAATGAACCCTTCATATTTGGTAATTTACTCAAGCTTTTAAGACTTACCATCACATTTGCACAGGCAGTTTGCTGTTGGGAATAATGAGAAGAATAAGACGATTGTCATATTTGTTTTCATCTTTATTCGCAAGTGGTAAACTTCCTGTGCGAATGTGATGGCAAGTCTAAAAAGCTGGAATAAATTACCAAATACAAGGGTTCTCATTGCAGCTGAAAAATGGATGATTAGAAGTACTGGCGTTGGTGGCCTTATTTCTCTTCAGAACGGGAACCTGCGACGCTAAAAATTCTTGAGAGCTTTTCGTAGATGCTATATTTTGCTTTGTTAAGATTTTTCCAGCAGCAGGGAGTTCTACGCTCACGATTGCCTTCAAACTTGCAGATGTAAAACTAGAGAGCTCTGGGGCTTATTTGCTTAAGTTTGGGAAAAATCTGTCGTGGGATTTCGAAGTTATTTACATTTTTCATAAAAATGCGGTTTTAAATATATACCGATATCTCAAAAGCTTTTATACCTACAAAAAAAATAAATAACGTTTTCTTAAGGTTCCATTATTATTTATTTGGTATGCCAAAAATCATAGAAATCGGTTGAATCTTTCATTCTAAAAAACGCGAATCAAAAACATAACCCAACACGCACATAAATAGGAACGGGCCACCTTAACTCTCACTCAGGGCAAAATGTTGGCTTAGGGGAGGGGTAGGTGGGCAGTTTCCTGGAAGCGTATAATGATCCGAAAAATTTAAGTTCATGCGACAGCCTTCGACCCATATTTAATTATGATTTAAACCAAGGTCACGAGCTAATTGAATTTCAAGTGCGCTGTAGTTCAGTCCGGATTTAGCTGTGAAAAGCGTTTCGCCTAACATTTCGGCGGAGTAACAACAGAGTGATTGTCTTCCATGAAAATACGTTACTCACCGCTGAGAAAAATAGCGAATCCTCAACTCATCATACGGTATAAAAAAATTATGTCATCGACCATTTGATCTGTTTACATTTTCCTAAAGTTCGTTCCGATGAAATCGACATGTGAATACCGAACTATTATTCGAACAAGCGCTCAACTCCGAATCAGCACCCACCTCGCATAAGCGCCCATCCTAAAGGCAGAAAAAAGTTAATAAGCGCTAGCCTCGAATACTTAAGTGTCTAGCCTCGAGTACGCGTCAGAAAAAGATAACCGAAAAATTCCAAAACCCATTTTATGAACTGGACGTTCCTTGCCGCAGCCCGGTTAATTACGAAGGCTTGGTTTCTTTCTTGCTAGAAAACACTTTTATTTTTAACCCGTTACCTAATTAGGGGAATGCTTTTGATAAGGAGTTGTGATACACCAAGCGCGAAGGGGAGCGGGGGTTAAAGGGAACGGGCAAGTTTGACATTTTGTTTTCATATTCTGTGGATAACACGTGGTGGGTTTTGACCGACAAATTGCAATCAAATTCGAAATCTGTCACTCTCTCTGGTCTGGTCTTACTCCTCCCCGTGAAGAGATTTTTTGGCCCAAAAAGAAAGGAGCTCGGGCTATTTTCCGAAATAGCGGCTGATAATCGAATATCGAATAAAGCCATGACCTGCTTAGTCTGCTACACAGCCGTTTTTAGTGGGGAGGAGCGTTGCGTGACGACACTTCAAACGGCCGTGTAGTAGACTATGACCTGCTTACAAGATTGATAAATTGAAAATATCAACACATTACAGAGACATAATGTGAAGGGAAGTATGGCGTGACTTTGAGATTTCTATGATTAGCAAATATAGATATGATTAGTGGCCCAAAACTGGCATGCTAGTAAGAGACACAACATAATTCTTATAGACAGAACTTTTGAACATAAATGAAGCTAGGAATGCCTCCAAGCATGTCGATATTCAACGTAATGTTTTTGATTTCCGACTCCGCAGGCAACTTTACTTGATATGTTTTACTGCACAAACATTTGTATGAATCAATTGGTTTTGTTCTTAATCATAACTTCCACAGAATATATATCTGCCAGCGTAACATGAATCGTTGTCTTGAAATTCGTTTGGTTTGTCGAAAAAACATGAGAAATGAAACGACGCTAATCTTCTTTTAACCAGTTTTAACTCAGTGACTGAAGTGTCATCTTTCTGTTTATAAATGTGAGATTATGCCACAGGAAAGCCCCCGTTTTCATTTCCCATGAAAGAATAGTCTTAGGCTGCTTACCTTTAGTTTTGAAACACGCGTAAAACTTGCGCTGTTTTGCTGTGTCCTTGTTTTGTTTTCGGGTTCTTGACCGAGAAAAATGAACTGACGGGAATAATCGAAGCTCATATTTCATAAAGGAGGCATTTCATCCACGAAAAGGCCGTTAATTATTAACTCTCAACTGAAAAAAATCACGTCATTTGCAGTCAGTCCTATCGAAAATGGCATTAGAAAAATGAAAATGTTCATGTAATGCCTGTAATGCAAAAGTCAGATTCCCTTCTCAATTTGATGTTATTCTGAAGAGTACAATCCAGTTGCAAGACCGGTCCTCAAACAATAAAACTAGTTAGGTCACGATAAACACTGATGCTAAGTATCCGGCTTATCATCCGCGACACAAGAACAATTATAATAAAAATGGCGGTTCAAGAAAGAAAATACTCTTATGATGAAACTTTAGATTAGTTTTATAATGTTCCAGTCAAATCCTTTTAAAAATTCCTAAATCCGTGTCTCGTGGTCGGCAACACAATCAGTTAAAAGCTACGCTCGATTTCCGCCGCTCTCTCGGTCCTCCCCGAGAGACGCTGAAATAGACGAGCACCCTCGCAATTACTTAGGGCACTGGGCGATTAATAACAGATTCGGCGCCGGTACAGTGATATTTACGCGCGGTTGTTTGTGAACGGCGTTCACATTTAGTACCAGGGCACTAGTTCCCGGGCACGGTACAAAATGGTGCTTTGTCCACACTCTGGGTACCCAAGTTGTCTTTCATCCACTTTGCTCCATCAGTAGACGCCATTTTTGCAAAAGGAGCGAAGGAGTTGATTGTGGGTAAGACTTCTCGGAATCAACGGAAAACACGTGCACACAGGGACCCGGTGCCCACTTTAGTGTCTGAGTACAAGGTCGAGACCTTGGCTTGACTCCTTGCTACAACCAGTTGCAAAAGTACTTGAGACATTGTACGGTATTTTGGCATAAATGGCCTCCTCATGATCTTGTGCTTGTGATCCCCCCTCCACCCCTTATCAAACTTGCTTGCTTGCTAAACAACTTTGAATGGGAAGGAGGAGGGAGGTCAGTTTTATAATTATCTCACAGACCTGTGACCAGGGGCGATTTGAAGCAAGAAAGGTCGTTTTTTTGTGGGAGTGTCTCAACATTTTTGAAACTGGTTATACCGCGGGTACTTCAAAAAAGGTGTGTTCACATTAGTGCCCAGCGAGTATTGTGCTTGGGCACCAGTGCCCAGAAACCAAGTGTGAATCCACCTTAAGGTAGCTTTCACACTTGGTGCCCGCGCACAGTAGCCAAGTACGGTTCGCACATCGCTGGTCACTAATGTGAACACACCCTTTTTTCAGCTATCCACGCCGGAATTCGGGCACGGTGCTGGTGCCCGAGTACAAGGTCGAGGGCACAAAAGTGAGCACCGGATCCCTGTGTGCACAATCGTTTCTATTAGTTCTGGGCAAGAAACAATGAGCAAGGGGCAGTGTATTTCTTTCTACTCGCTGCTAGGCTCTTGTTTCAAAATGGGTTCTGAAAGGGTGAAATGGAGTAACTAGGTAGAGTCGAACCCCTTTTTACGGACACCCACTTAATACGGACACCTCGTTATTATACGGACAGTTTTTTTGTCGATGGGGAAAGAAAGCCCTCCCTTGCATTTTCTCTAAATTCAAACCACTTATTTCGGACACCCTTAATGCGGCAACGGACACTTTTTTCTTGCTCAATCAACCGATTCTCATATAAAATAAACCTTGCTAATGCGGACACTTCATTTTCCACTTTGTGCTGTGATAAACCTCACTTTATTTTGAAGATAAAAAAACCTTCAGTTGACATCATATCGACATTCCCAACGCTGCAACGCACCAAATAGGATGAAGAGAATAAAGGCTTTGGGAAGTTTAGAGATGTTTAGTTAGACAATTCCAGTCTCTTAGCTGTTTTATTTCTATAGTATTTTGTTCAAAAAAGGTGTATTTTTTAGTTAAATTGCTTGACCTGCTAAATACGGACACACCGCTGATGCGGAAACTTTCTATGGTCCCGTCAGTGTCCGTATTACGAACAGGGTTTGACTGTACATAATTACTGATATGGGGTACCCAATGAGTGGCCACAGCACCATTTTGTGCCGGTACCTGGGCACTGACTCCCGGCCAAGTGTGGGCAGACCCTTAGCTCATAGCAGGACCTCGGACTCGTCCATGCAGGACCTCGGACTCGTGTAGTATTTAGTCTTTAAGCCCCGTTGTGTCAGAACCTCCATTTGAGGGATATCTTAAGAGGTTATGCAGCAACCGGAAGAAAACGCCGCGAGAACAAGAAGAGGGGAAGCCCCACGCGGCTAATTGCCGCCAGCTTGCAGGTTATCTCGCGACTCGCTTCGCTCACCGCTTGCTCGCACGCTCTTGAGAACCAAGCTTCTGTTGTTTGCTGTGTTATTAATGAGTTTTAGCGTTGCTCAACTCGAAAAGATACCGACGCGAAAGCAATAGACTTCATTGCTAATCAGCTTGGTATTACTGTGTCTTCAGACCATAATAAGCCGTTCCCACCGTACTGGCAAGAGAGGTCGTACACCCAGGACGATCATCGTTCGACTTGTGTACTATAACATGAAAGTTCAACTTCTACGTAAGCGTCGCGAATTAAAGGCTCGAGACACTAACTTCGACATTCGGGAGGACTTGACACAATACCGTCGTGACATTCTACATTATCTTCATAATGACATCACAGAAGGCATTATTAACAAAGTCTGCACCATCGATGGAATTATTTTTATGAGGCCGACGTCCCGTTCCTCAGTGATTGAGAAATGTACTATTCTCCCTAAATGCCGCGAGATTGTGAACAAATATAGCTAGTCAGCCACTGAAGCTAACTCTGCTTTGTGACGCAGGTACTCTTTAGAGAAGTTAACTTTGTTTTGTCACGCAATGTACTCTATTTGCTATCTTGAGGTATCAAGATTATGATTGTTTAGCTCTCTGCATAATTGCTGCCTTGTTGCTTACTTTTATTTATTAATTTATATTATTTACTTGTTTGTGTACTTCTTGCTTACTTATTTACACTTGTTTGTTAACACTTCCATAGCATTAATTTTAGTAGTAGTAGTAGTAGTAGTCCTAAGCGTATTAAGTACCCATGTACTGTGTGTAAATTAAGCGTCCGTAATAGTCACAAAGCCATTTTATGTGACATATGTCAGAACTGGACACATTTAAAGTGCACTCCTTTTACATGAGAGGAATGCATTGCTTTATCTAATATATACTAAGGAAGACTGGTTCTGCTGGTTTGTCTTGCCACTCTATTTCCATTTAACCATTTTGAAGATGATACTGATTCCTTCTTTGCACTGTTCGACTTTAATTTTGAAGGAAAGTTGTTAAGCAAATAGTGTTTAATCCCTTTTTTGATGACCCTGAGACATCTCATCTGCTAATGAACTCTAACCTTGATCCTAACCCCAATTTTTTTTACCACAAATCCAGAATTACTTTCGAACTGCATATATCTAACCTCATAATTTAACAAAATTCTTTTTCCTCTGATGCATTTTCTGCTTTCCACATTAATATCCGTAGCCTCCCTAAACACTTTGACGACTTGTCGTTAATATGTTGTTCTCTGTTGTTGCCGTTTCTGAAACCTGGTTACATAAGTCTAATCCTGATCTCCTTAATATTCCTGGCCACCATTTTATCTCCAATTCAAGAGGACATAAATTAGGTGGTGGAGTTGGTCTTTACATTCAGTCTGATATGAATTTTAAGCTTAGGATTGATCTTCAATCTTCTGACAATTCATTGTACGAATCAGTCTTTGTGGAAACCATGCGACCTCGTGGTAAAAATATTATTGTTGGCTCCCTCTATAGACCTCCCGATGCCTCTCATAACGACTTTAACAGGTCTGTTGAAGATATCTTGTCAGCCATCAGTTTTGAGAATAAGCTATCTTGTATTATGGGTGATTTTGATATCGACATCCTCAACTCTCATTCATGTTCTAAACCTCACCGCTCTTCAAAACCCTGGTTCTCAAATGGTCTCCTTACTTCTTGTAAAAAGAAAACTTCTCTTTACAAACAGTTCCAGTTAAACCCAACTGCACTCAGCAAGTTGAGATACAACAAATACCGTAATAAATACAATTTTCTCATCAAACTTGCCAGGAAAAAATTCTTCCATGACAAACTGCTCTCTGTCAGTTCAGATTTAAGAAAGACATGGTCAGTCATAAAACAGATTATCTACTAAAAGGAACCTGAGCAACGTTTCAATAACATCAAAGATAGTTCTGGTTCATACTCAAAGCCTACTCAGATAGCTACAAAGTTTAATAATTTCTTGCTAATGTTGGTCCTTCTTTGGCAAATAAAATCTCTCCCAATCAAATTACGTATAGAGAGTTTCTGATTGGTCATTACGCAAAGTGTTTCTATCTTAACCCAACTTCTCCCACTGAGGTTGCTAATATAGTCCATTCTCTAAAAAATAGTAAATGTGAGGGTTTTAATGGCCTCTCTATTTCGCCTGTAAAAGATACTATTGATTTAATAGCTGCCCTTTGGCCCATATCTGCAATCTGTCATTTTCTCACGGTGTTTTTCCAGATAAGCTCAAAACAGCCAAGATCCTTCCCATCTTCAAATGTGATAAACTCGTCCCTGTTCTCTAAATACAGGCCTATTATTTCTATTCCCCCCTGTCTTTCCAAGGTCTTCGAAAAACTCTTTTACTTCAGATTGTCTGGATTTCTTGAAAAATTTGACATTCTTAGTCACCATCAATATGGCTTCAGACCACATCATTCTACAACTATAGCGATCCTCGAATTTGTAAACAATATATATGAAGGCTTTGAAAGTAATGAATATAATACACTATTGGAATTTTGTTAGACCTCAAGAAGGTATTTGATACTGTAAATTATCAGATACTTATTGACAAATTAAACTTTTATGGTATCCGTGGTATTGTTTAATCTTGGCTCACCAGCTATTTAGGCAACCGACAACAGTATGTTATGTTCAATGGTCATGTTTCTTCTAATAATACTGTTATGTGTGGGGTCCCTCAAGGATCTTTTCTTGGCCCTTTATTATTCCTCTTATACATTAATGATCTTTTTCTTTCTTTAAATTATCTTTCATTTATTGTCTTCGCTGATGACACCAATATTTTTCTTCGTTATAAAGACCTGGCTACTTTAGCTAGAATGGTTAATCAAGAGTTTTCTCATGTCTCCTCCTGGTTAAACGCAAACAAGCTTACTGTTCATCCTGATAAATCCAAATTCGTCATCTTCCATCCACGACGTAAACAGATCGATTCTTCGGAATTAAGCATCTTAACAAATAACACCCCTATAGGGCGGGTACAGGAACGTAAACTTCTTGGAATAATTATTCACGAAAACCTTTCATGGAAACCGCACATCACTTCCATCTGCGATAATGTCGCTAAGGCTATAGGAATTTTGTCTAAATGAAGATGATACTTACCTTCGGTTACTCAAAAACCTTATATAATTCCCTCTTTCTACCTTATATCAACTATTTTAACCTCATCTGGGCATCTATATAAGCCTCCTACCTTGAACCCCTCTAACTACTCCAAACGAAAGCCATTCGAATTATCACCTTTTATCCTCCACGAACTCGTTCTTAGCCTCCTCTTTTCTCGAAGCTTAACATTCTTTCTCTCCATTCACTTTACAAATTTCATGTTTCTTGTTTTGTATTCTCACACTTTAATCGCCTTTTACCTGCCTCTCTTTCCTCGCTCCTCTACTTTAATTGTGATTTTTATGATTATCTAACTCGTTCTCGTTTCAACTTGCATAAAATGTCCCTCAGGTATCAATTTGCTATTAGTTCTCAAGCCCCGGCTATTTGGAACGATATCCCCTTGACTGTCCGTGACAGCCTTACCACTACTAACTTTAAAAAGAAACTAAAACTTCACTTTTTAAGCCTGAATTGAACTAGCGCAGGATTCTCATAGTGTATTGTTAGTCTATTTGTCACTAGTTCCGTCTCTGTTATAGGATTGGTTGCATGTAAACTTATTTAATTTCAGTTTTGTATCTACAGCCTACAGTCTTCATTTCTATATCAAATGATTTCTGTCATTCTGACCACAGGCCGTATAAGCCCCCGGCTTTGGCTTTACTGAGTTTGTACTATATGAGCGATGGAATAATAATAAAACTAAAGTTAAGTTAAGTTAAAACCTTACAGTAATTTTTTAACCTCGAAAGCTTGACGGCTATTTTAAACAACAGGCATTTCATTACTCCTAACTGTATTTTGTTTATTTGTTACCCTAGGATTCTAACTAATTCACGTCTCTTAAACAATCATTTCTTTATACTTTGAAAATGTGAATAAAAATGTATTTTAATGAGTAACGATGTTTTTGAGACATCTTTTTACATTTTCATTCCATTTCTTTTTCGCGTTTTTTTTTTGAAAACCATGAATTTAAAGTGATAACCTCCCCCTTAAGTTCGGGTATACTCTGAACTAGTCGTTCCATCTTATCCTTTGAAGCGGGATCTATTCAGTAACCTAACATTTATCGCTGTCTGTCTATTCGAAATGCCTATTTTCTTTTTCCGTTTGCTGTATACAGACGACTTTTCGGCAACTCATACTTTACCGTTGGATTAATGGTAGCCGAAATTTATTCTTTGTGGACATTCTCTTCTCCTTTCCACAAAGCAGTGGCGTATTTCCTTCCCTGCCTTGCAACAAGAATGCATTCTATTAACTCCTCCTTAAAGTCAAACGGAATCTTATGAACAAAAAGTTTCTCTTTGTTGTCTTCTCTTAGAGCCCAGCGTAAATCTTTTAGTGAAATCCAACAAATCTGCCGCTTCCACATCCCAAGACAAACCTCAACGGTTTTATCACCCCATTCCCAATGCATAGCCCGTTGAATCCACTTTAGTTGATTTCCTTTGATTCCGCCAGGAGCTCCTGGAAGTTGTTGTAGAGAAGCGTATATCATTTCATCCGGGATTAGAGTGTCCTTTAAGAATTCATAGAAGTCTTTTGCTATTGGCTGTGAAGGGCAAAATCGACAAATTCTCTTAAAGCAATAATATGAGTGGATCCTTTATAGATTGAAATATTGTGAGGTGGTGGCACCTTTGGTATGTTTGTTCTTTTACGAACAGCGTGGCCTTTCAATATGTGAACAAAATTAACTCGATAGGAAAAATGTTCAGGCATTGGAGAACTTATTATGTTGTTGGTGTTGTTGAGACCTTGTAACGCTCGTACAATCTGCTTGTTATCATATAGAGGAAAATCCTGTCCCACTAAACTAATGTAATATTTCCATTTAACTGGTGATTTCAGCAACTCTTCCATGCAACTGAACTGAGCTTCAACTAGAGTAATATGTCCCCAGACGACGTCAACACTGTTTGCTGCGATAATAACATTTGAAAGGCATCGTGTAATGGCCATTATTGCTGTACGGAAGACCGCTGAAGCCTTTTTATCTATATGAATGCAGTAGACATTGTTTGGCATGTAAATAGCTCGAAGAAGTCGCTCAAGCAGACAAGCACCTTTATGAACAATCAGACCGAAAGCGATTGGTAGCTGCTCTTCTTCTTTTGACACAGGAGGATGAACAAAACGAGTTTGTAAAACACACGCGCAATCTTGATCAAGCCTGTAGATACCCAGAATTTCTGAGTCATTCCGTAAGGTTCCAGCCTTGTTCAGTATTTGTTCTCCAGATATAAGCCTCTTGCACCTTTCCCACTTGAATTCCTACAACAAGTATTGTCCCAAGTTACACATATGACCCTGGTATATGGTATTATAGTATATTGTTGTCTCTCTGTTTTTTTAGTGGTTGAAGCGCTCACTTGTGTTTGGGAGCTTATAGGTTCTGAGTTTCTGTAGGAGAATCTACTCTCGTGAAGATATGACGATTCCTGCATAATTAAAGGGTCCGTAAAGCGTCTGAAAATATGGGAACGATTTCTGCCTTTTTTCGTCCATGTGACCTCAAAGTTTGTAGAATGACAGAGAATCATGAGTGTTTTGGGCTATATTATGATAGCTATCTACATTAATACCGTCTGGGGTCTATACAAGCAAGTGGAGAGAAGATTAAGAAAAAAATTGTATCATTTTCATTCCTTACCTCTTCCTGAAGCGAATGATAATACGCTCGCACAATCTGATTAAAAAAAGATAGCAATTAAATGACGATTGTATAGTTTCATTTCCTCAATTTAAAAGGAGGTCGTGGCCTGGGTCGAACGAGCCCGTGCAAGCACTTATGGGATTGCTGAGAGAGACCCAAACTGTTATAGGATTAAGCTATAGGAGAATCTAACCTATGTCACTGTAAAACATATCTTCCAAACGAGGAACTAAGGGGAGAGCTGCCGCAAATTTTACTGTTTTATTGCCTCTTTCCTTCGGTAACCTGAAAGTTAACACAAACACGGTGATAGTGTAAGACCATTCTCTTTTTTTTCTCCGTTTAGCGTCGTCCGACCCACCCAAATTTTTGGCATTTTCAAAACAAAAAAAAAAGTAACGACGTAGTTAAACCATTTTTCACATGAAATAATTCTTTTAATCTGAAAAATGAGCATAGTAACAGCACAGAGAACAACAGGAACAAAAACATGAACATATTGTACAGTATATTGTCCATTTTGTTAATCCAAATTATGTGAGTGTCAACTTTTATAACGTCGTCCTGGGATACCAGGGCCAAATATTCCGAGACTTCTTGTGAATTTTTTTTTAGTTTTTTTTTTTTCAATCCGACCGACCGACCGACCGACCGACCCAAAATCAGAAAACGCATTCGACACTGAACGAAGAAAAAAAAGGGTATGGCCTAATTCTCCGGTTGCTTAGTAACATGTCAAGTCTCTTCAAAACTCATCACTCGTTATATTTTTAAGCCTTGTACCTTGGTACGTGTGCGCGAGCAATTTAATTATGGACGCGTGCATTATTTATTTATTTTAGTTGCGTGTACATTTAGTTTGTTTAATAACGTCTTAGTTTTGCTTTGTGTTATTTTCCTCACTTATCTGTGTTGTCCGCGACTGTGCTCACACGGTGGGTGGCTCCTCCTAAAATGTTCTGCAATTGGTATGGGATTTAATGGAGCCGAAGCCAATTGTGGAATTGCACACATTTTAGGCATCCTACTGATGAACAGTTGGGACACGTAGTTATATTTTTATAGCAACTACTATAATTTGGAGTCTGTCTACTTTGAATTATCTGGGCACTTATCTCATTAATGCTTGTAAACCTTCTTTAGTTTCCTGAATATCACTCTTTTCAAAACTATTTGAGCTTGCGGGTATAAGTCGAGTCAAAAGGGTTTTTCATTCTCATTGTTTCCTCTTACCCGATCGTTTTGTTTCCATCACTCGCATGCAATTAGGGAGGTTAATCCGACGACGGCGACGGCTACGAAAACGTCACTTAAAAGTGGATGATGGCTGCTTTTAACTTTATGACGCTTATTCCATCTTGTTTAATTCGTCAAATGCTGGAAAATTTTTTTGGAGTTGAATTTTAAAGGACTAGATCAAAGTTCAGGAAAAAAAGAAAGTTGTATTTGATCCGTTCCCGTCCTCGACAAAACGTGAAATTAGGCACTTTCACGTTGTAGTCGTGCATTGACGGCAAAGAAATCTACAAAAAAGTGTGATGCAGGTACAAAGTTGTTGTTTTGCTAATCTAACCTACTGCTTTTTTGTCGTTGTCGTCGCCGTCATCGATCGTTGCTTAAAGAAATTTCCTTAGAGTCGTTTTTGAACTGTTTGAGTGCATCTCTCTGCGCTTGTGCTTTGTTGTTTTGTTTTGCTTTTTTACTTTCTTCAGAATAGTCCAGTTTCAAATTAAAAATTACCGCTCAATATAAACATTAACGACACATTCATACAGGGTTACCCTCGACGTAAAGTGAAGTATTCAGAAATTCTGGCAAGTGAGTGTTTGAAATTTGAATATACACAATAGACAGAGTAATAAACAGATCTTTTTCTCGTTGAAATTTGTGAATATATTACCTCAGATTGAGGCTAAGGCTGTAAAAAATGCGTCTTCACTTCTTTAATTCAGCGGTCATAGCAAACTCCAAAATGGACTATTAGTAATGGTAACAGGACTGAGTGGAGTCCAATTCGGTCTGTAATCATATCGGACGACCGCGTAGCCATTTAAGCGCGCGCGTGATGGCGCGTACTGTCCTATTAAACTGTCCAATTAAGGCTGAAATCAGGGCAGTTGATAGCCAATCAGATTTGACAATTTTGTTATAGTTATGATTAAAATAATAATAATAATAATAATAATAATAATAATAAAAATTAAAGAGGGCAAGAGCTGAATGGGAAAACATCAGGATGGCAGAGAGGTCCCCTCTACCGAAGATATCAGTGAACAGAAAAGCTGAGCTGTTGATCAAAGAAGCAAACCAAGCAATTCAATTGGTAATAGCAAAAGAGACACCCAACCTCAATAACATCAATTTGTTACAATATGTCACTGCGTATGTGGTATCTGAAAAGATGGGTAAAACGCCAAAACTCCCAAAGACAAAGAGCAATAAACGGCAACAACCAAAATGGAGGACAAGAATAGAGAATCAGATTAAAAGCATGAGAGCTGATCTGTCGGTACTAACGGACATGGCACAGAAAGGTGAAAGCCAAAAGATCTCCAGGAAAAAACAAAGAATTAAAAAGAAATACAAAATAACAACAAATCAAGAACTGCAAACAGTAAGAGAATCCCTTAAAATGAAAATTCAAGCAAAAGCCCAAAGAATCAGGAGATATGTAAAAAGAAGTAAACAATTCAGTCAAAACCAGATGTTTGCAAACGATAGGAAAAAGTTCTTCAGAAACCTTGGTAAAGACCAGATATCAGTTGAAAAACCACCTAAGAAAGAAGCAACAGAAACATTTTGGCGTAACATCTTGGAGAACGATAGAGAGCACAACCAGATCAGCAGAGTGGATAAAGAGGGAGGAGCAGAAATATGCTGATACAGAATGCCAACCATGGGAGGACATAAGCCAAGATGAGTTGCAGACTGTCTTAAAGAAAGCAAGCAACTGGAAGTCACCCGGCACTGATGCAGTTCCTAACTTCTGGCTAAAGCAACTCACAGCACTACATCAACATCTACTGAATGCATATAACCAAGCAATAGAAAACCCAGAAAATCTGCCTGATTGGTTCACTACAGCACAAACATATTTACTACCAAAGAACAAAGACACAGAGAACCCCAAAAACTATAGACCAATTGCCTGTTTATCAACATCCTACAAGGTGCTCACATCGATTTTAACTGAAAGAAGCTACACCCATATCACAAAGAATGATATATTGCCGGAAGAACAGAGAGGTTGTGTCAGGGGTTCATATGGATGCAAAGATCAGCTCCTAATAAATAAAATGATCATAGAAGACTGCAAAGAGAAGAAAAAGAACTTGAGTATGACTTGGATAGACTACAGAAAAGCCTATGATAGTGTTCCTCACAGCTGGATACTGAAGACCTTACAGATTTACAGATTTAATGAAAAACTAATCAAGTTCATGAGAACCTCAATGTGCAACTGGAAAACTACGATGAAGCTATCTTACAATGATGGATGCATCACAACAGATCAAATCAAGATCAAAAGAGGGATCTTTCAAGGAGATTCATTCTCACCTCTGCTATTTTGCCTAGCCCTTGTGCCTTTAACATCAGAGCTGGCTACATCTGGGTATGGTTACAAGATCTTAAATACAAGTGCTCCAATAAGCAATCTGTTTTATATGGATGATCTAAAATTGTATAGCAAGAACGAGCAAGAACAAGTTGGAGAACTGAAAATAGTGAAACAATTCAGTGATGATATTGGTATGGAATTCGGACTTGAGAAATGTGCCAAAGCCAGTTTCATGAAAGGTAAACTGGCCTCAACTGGAAACATAGTAATAGATGTTGACACAGAAATACAAGAGTTGGACCAGGAAGGAGTATACAAATACCTGGGTGTAGATGAAAGTGATGGTATCCAGCATAGCAAAATGAAAGAGAAGATAAGAAAAGAATATAATAGGAGAGTAAGATTAATCCTAAGAACTGAGCTCAATGGAAGAAACAAAATAGAAGCTATCAATAGTCTTGCAGTCCCAGTTGTGCAATATAGCTTTGGCATCATTGACTGGAAAATCTCAGAACTGAAGAAGATTGACACAAAAACACGCAAACTACTGAACATACACAAGATGTTACATCCTAAAGCAGATGTGGAAAGGCTGTACATCCCAAGAAAAGATGGAGGTAGGGGCCTGATTGATGTAGAAACAGCATTCAAAACTGCAACAATAGGGCTTGATCACTATCTGAAGCACAAGGAAGGGCAATATCCAAAGCAGGTGCTTGAACATGAAAGATCTAAAGCCAAAAATTCAATATCCAAGAATGCTACTAAATTCAAAAGGGAAGTAACAATGCCAGAGATTGAGTACAGAGAAGATAAATCTGCCTCTGAAAGTGCTAAAGCCCTGAAACACGTGTTTAAGTCCAGGATGAAGTCAATGAAAGAAGAAAAGTGGAAAAACAAAGCATTGCATGGCCAGTATCCAAAGATCCTGGAGAAGCCTCATGTAGACACAGTCACCACCAACAAATGGTTGTCAACTTATTTGAAAGGAGAAACAGAGGGACTACTTGTTGCAGCTCAAGACCAGGCAATAAACACCAGAAACTACCAGAAAGTAATATGTGGCCAGCAAGTGGAGAGCAAATGCAGATTGTGTTCGCAACATGAAGAGACAGTGGACCATATTGTAGCTGGATGTGAGGTATTAGCCAAAACAGAGTACATCTCCAGGCACAATAATGCTGCAGCATATCTCCATTGGAGCATATGTAAAGATCATGATATAGAGATTATAGACAAATGGTACGAACACGAACCAGAGACCGAGATACACAATAAAGATAACAACATCACCATCATGTGGGACATGCCAGTCAATACTGATAGAACTATAACAGCGAACAGACCAGATATCATCGTTAAAGATTCAGTGAATTCCACCTGCAAACTTATTGATATGACTGTTCCATCAGATAGAGACATCGCACTGAAGGAAACTGAAAAAAAAATGCAAGTACAAAGACCTAGAACTAGAAATACAGAGAATGTGGCATATGAAAACAGTAGTGATCCCTGTGGTTGTTGGTGCGCTTGGTACAGTGAAGAAGGGTATGGTAGAAAACATCAAGAAAGTATCAGAAAGAGCTAATATGACAGAGATTCAAAAGATCTGCATGCTGGGATCTGCACGAATCCTCAGAAAGGTGCTCAGTGTATGAACAGAATGATTGACTTGAGTGACTGACGCTCTAGGTGCATGGTTTGCGCCCGGCTGATGCACAAAAAGAACACCAGCAAAGACTGATAATAGAGACAATAATAATAATAATAATAATAATAATAATAATAATAATAATAATGAAATGTAGGTTGAGTTTGATCGTCCGGGTGAATGTAATAATAAAATGCTGTATCGCTGTGGAATACTGAACGGAACGATTTTTTTTAAATGGAAAGTCGGTATCCTTGGTGCTTTGAAGGCTTACCTTGCTATTTGTGTTTAGCATACTCGACTGGCGAACAATATTGACCAACACAATGAATGCTAAAATGACCAAGAATATCTTCACAGTCTTGGTTGTTGATAATGCCATCGAAATTCATCCCTGTGAATAAGGACCTTTGTTAGAATTAAACACTTACACCCATTTTTCCATTAAGGATATAATTCTGTGTGTTGAGAAGCTGTTAATAAAATGCAATTATGTTTTTTTAACTTAGGTAACTGATTAAGTTATTCCTTTCCCTAAAGGGCAAAACTAGCCAACAAAACGAAAAAACAACACTAAGTTAAGCTAAATGTCCAATGCTAAAAACGGTTTGATGAGCAGTATGTCCTAAGTTTAATTTAAGAATAACACAAGAATACTTTCAGGAGGAAAATAAGAATATTCAGCGTAGGCAGGAAAAACAACATTCTTTTATACTAAAAGAGCGTATTAAAAATCGCGAGTAAATTTTGGTTCACAGGAGGAAAATGACTGTCGTAAAATCTTGGCTTTAAACCTATTGACCTGCTAAGCTAGTCGGGGCGAAAAAAAAAAACGTGCTGATAAAATACAAGGTCAATATAGCAGGAAAAATAAAACGCGCCTTACTGAAGGAGCGAATGTCTCGTATTAATGGCATGCTAAATGGCTTAGCTAATACGTACCTTATAATATGCTTGTATGTTGTGTCTTATTTTATACGCGTTCTTCAGTGTAAGACGCGTCTCACTCTTATTTTCTCCGTGTAAATGGCTCTATTGTTTCATAACTGACGTGTCCAAACTTTTAATTGTGATATAAATAGGCCAATTTCTTTTTTGAAAAATTCATGGTTCAGAGGCTCAGGGGAATAAAACAAAGAAATCACCTTGAGGCTCAGTAATGAATAATACATTTCTATTGTTTGGCCTAAGCCTCGTAGCCATGCATTATTGGCTTGACAACTGATATTTGAGCGCTAATAGATCGTCTAATTAGCCTTTTCAAATCCATTTGAAATTAATCATTGTTTATGTATTTTCCCTCGCCAAATAAACAACCCTGGACACCGAGACTTCGTGAGGCCAAAAGGAGTTAAACATTTTTTTTTATTATGGTAGCCACGTAGTAAACAGCTAGGCTGCCGCCGTGGAAACGAAGTTGATCGATGGTCAATGCAGCGTCCCATGCAGCATCCGCCTGGGGGATTGGAGCCGATCAGAAACGGCGAGATATTTTGAATGAATAATAATCATTCTTTATTTAACTGTAACGTGATCGCAACTGACCTCATGGTAGACCATAGTAGCCACGTCGTGAGTTTTAAATGAATTCTTAGTATTGTAGGAACTAATCCAAAAAGTACAGTCCGACCGAGCTTTCAAAGTTAAATTGCATACAATGTCGAAAGGACCCTCGGTAAACTCTTTGCAGGTACGACAGATGGGTATTGGCTAATGGACCTTCCAAGCCTTCTAGGCAAAAAAGAAAGATTTCTGTTACGAAAAAATTTTTATTTCCTCAAGCAGTTTACGACGTTTATCGCATGCATTTTGAAATCAATGGTGATCCCTCTGGGATTTTTGCTCTGTAGTGATACTTATTTAATACTCCCATCAGTCAATCTTGTTATCTACCTTGTCAAACTGGTTTTCCGAGCGCGAAAATCCGTTTATAGATCATAAACGGTGGTCAAAACTGATCCCGCTGTACACAGCTATTAGGTCTGGGTCGGAGTCTGTATCAACGCGTGCTCGATTTATGAGTACCTCCTTCCTCTCCTCCAAGAAACGTCACCTTCTTTAAACAGATGAGTGAGTAAGTAAATAAATATAAATAGGATAAATAATAAATAAATAAATAAATATAAACACACAAAGGGATATGGTCGTGCAAGTAGGGTGCATTTTTGAAAGAGTTCAAGCTCGGCAGGGTAACAGTATCTTAGGGTGGTTCCGTTTTATTGTTCGTCGGGAAAAACGACCACTCACGCTTTTTGAGTATTTCTTGAATATTATCTGTCAGTCATTAAGCCGGGATGTGATTGGCTATGAAGTCTTAATGTCATTGGTGAGTTCCGATCCGTCTTTTGTCAAAGACAACGAAAATGGTAGGTTATTGAACAGATACTTAGAAGGATAAGATGTATTAAGTTGTATTAGATGCATTGTGAATAACATGTATTGTGTTGTTATTTGTTGTACGTAATAGCTTCGGTTCCTTTGAGACATCTGTCTATCTGTCTATTTGTCGGTTTGTTTTTCGGTCTTTTTTTTAAGCCAGATGCATTTAAACTAATTATCTATCCTATAAGCTCGGATGTAGTGTGAACTAATCGCGTATTATCTTATGATTCGAAGTATCTGCTCAATTACCTAACATTTTTAGCTGCCTTTCTATCTTAAATGCCTAAGT